TTTGAAACCAAAGACATCCCATTAAGGTATTGCACAGATCTGCCTTCAGAGGCTATAGGGCTTCTAGCAGCGTTCCCAAACTGATGTCCTGCCCAAACTTTGAGTTTTCATCACACCTGAGAAACTGCCAGGCAGATTTCTGTCCTTGAAAAAGGACACTCCTGTAAAAGATACGGCGTTTGACATTTCACAGATTTCAGTTCTTGCCACCCCTCTCCTCCTTTTTCAGGCCTCCTGCATACTTCTACAGAAGTCATTTCCAGGTTATGGTGGCCAACAGGGCAAAGCATAATGACAACCACTGCCCCCATTTCCACGGGGTGGCATGCTGCTCCCTGTGCAAGGGGGCCTGATCCCCTGCCCGGCTTCCAACCACCATAAGCAAATGCTTTCCTGCTGCCCCTTCTCCACCCATGGCCCAGGGACAGGCTCCACCACGCACTCTTCCTCCTGTCCCCACACCAGGAATCCGTCCTCTCCCACTCCATGCCAGCACCTACACAAATTCTTCAGCAGCAAAACAGATTTTCAAAGTATCCACTACTTACTTGATGAACAAACACTTCTGAATTCAGGCACAAAATATAACCAGGGAATTTGAAGTTGACAAAGCAAGAGAGAGCCCAAAACACACGAATTTCGAATGCATCCAGGACACTGCACATTAATGCTCTAAGGCAAACTAAGCAAAAATTAATAAGAGATAAAGGAAAAAGCAAGTCACTGAAAACCTACTAGGTATGCTGAATGCATATCTTTATGGAAAATTGCTTCTCAAACAAAAACTGCTATAACAACACATTATTCCTATCATTTTAGAGTAAATATATATTTTATCAGAGCAATCTGTGTTAGTCTGGTATATTAATGCGCATAATAATTGTGAATTTGGAGCGCAGCCACAACCGTTTCAGTCTCTGGAGTGATCGGTGTCTGTCAAAATAATATTTTTTTTGCACACAGGCTGAAAGCACCGAAAACCTTAAAACAAAGATGTGAATTAATACCTGCAGAATAAATGCGGGAAGAGCAAATTCAAGACTACAGCAACATGCAAATTTCTTTGCAATTTCACATTTCAAAAGAACATCTCAGAAATACCGGCCATTTCAAACACATTCGGAGCCCACCACCTGATGAGATGAGATCAAAGCCTCCCTTCTTTTTATGTTAACACAGTTCATGAAGAAAAGGAAAGAGACCTGGGGAAATATTTACATGACTAATATATAGACTTGGATCAAGCATTAATACATAATGTCTTCTGATCTTCAGCGACATGATCTTTCATGCAAAAAAATCAAGTCATCTCTGAACATCTCACGCCTTTGAAAACATAAATATTAATGCAGAATCCAGTGCATTTCAGAAAGCATTGTTTTGATTGGAATGTGAGGAATGAGTGAGCCAGAAATTAATTAAAGCCAATTATAGTAACTAATTGCCATAATGGTGTGGGAAAACGCAGACCATAGCCCTTGCTTGAGGTTGGAATACATACAGCAGCAACTTTCACTGGCATTTTATAGCTGTAGCAATCTACAAGAAACCAAGAAGAATAGAAATTACTTTTCTTGGTAGAGTTAATGAAAGGCTGACATTTGAATTTGAGCAATTTTAAGAAGTTTTGTCTCTTCTTTTTCTTTTCAAATCAAGTATGCTTAAAAACTGCGAGATCTTCTTCATTACAAAGCATTAGCACAGTTATAATAAAGGCAGGTTACCTTTACAGAACACTGGCACGTTTGCTTTTCATTAACAGACATCTAGGCAGGTAATTCTGCATCCCTTTGAGAATGAAAGATCAGTTTGGCTTTTCAAAAAAAGCACCTCTGTGTACTTATTTCTAATCCAAATGGTCCTGGTGGCAGCAGCCAAGTTCAGAACCCATTTGAACCAGTACAAAGAGGAGGACAGACAGGGCAACCCCTGAGCCTGCCAGACACAGCAAGCATCACCTCCGCACATCCAGTGCTATAATGGGATCTATAACATGAAGTAGCTGTTGAGCCTTAGAAAGCATTAACTATGTAAAGAGGCATTGGTATCATCTGCTCCAAACCCATGATTTTTGGAAGGTGCCCAGCTCAGCAGCAGCTCGAGACCAAAGTAGCAGCCTGCTCGCCTTTCAAACAAGCACCGCTGCCAATTGCGGCTATGCAAAGGCACAAAGCATTTCTGCTTTGGGGTGCGTGCTGGAGACCCAGAGCACTGGAGCTTTTGGAGAGAGCTCAACACAAGAGCAGTAGGAGGATTCAAGTCTCCTGCTCGCAGGGAGGTCTGCTCACCTGGCCAGAGGAAGACAGGAGTCCCAAATCAGGCTTGTTAAATTCACTCAGAACTTAACCCACCAGTAGTCTCTTCCTCTAGCAGCATTACTGGGAGCAAAATAAGGAACATTTAGTTTTATTGTGTAATGATTTTGACTGAGAGTGAGGCAACTAACAAACTTGCTCCCCTCAAGTTGCTCATTTTGTCTGTTTTATTTCTTTTCCGTACGCTGTGTTCTACCTTGCCCACTAGTGTGCCAGGACATGGGCTGTTTACTCCTAGGTATATTCCTCTAGTGATGGGATTTACTAGCCATCTGACTTTTTGGGCCTTCTGCGCCACCATGAGTAACACAATTTCTACAAATCTAGACTCCAACATTACCCCAATTCCAAGCTATTGTACTGATAATTTAGTAGGAATCAGTGAAACTTTATGAGAACAGCATGAACATCTGATCCCTCTCAAAGCTTCAGTGCCAAACAAATCATCACCTTGTGCAGACACAAAAGCCTCTTCTGATGTTTCCATGCCTCTGCCTAAAATGATCAAGTAAAGATGGCAGAAATTATCCTGCTCCGAAACTGTAAATTGTGCAAGGAGTAAATTTAGTGTTACCCGAATTGCTTTGTCCCTTGCAATTAAGGAAGTGCCAAGTATTGTCTTAAATGGTATTCATTGCCCCATGCAAATCATCTCCCTCTCAGACAACAAAACTGTGCACGGTGGCTTTTTCTTGGGCAGGGAAGATGCAATAGTTCATTGGGAATAACATTTGTTGTTCTTTAGTGATGTTGTCTTTAGCAACACTTTAAAAAAATTTATTTCTGTCACTGAGTCAACCCTAGTGTGGCTCAGTTTGAATTAACTTTAAAAAAAAATATCACACCATCTTTCCATTAAATTATTGGGACTATTCTTTCTGAGATTTGTTTTTTCTTGAAATCCAAAGGAAGAGATTATAGCTTAGAATTGCAGAGCAAACAGAAGATGAAGGGGAGGAAGACTTAGGAAAGCTCTCTTGGAGAACCTGCTGTTTAAAAAGAACCACAACACCAGCTTTAAAAACAAAAATGAAAATTAAAGAAAGCCATGACAGAGCAAGGGAAGGCAAAATAAATAAATAAATAAAACAAGGCCACTATTAACAGGTAATAGGTCACCATTAGCTGCAGCTTCCAGGGGTCCAGATGATACAGGGAGCTTGCAAATAGCAAGGTAGAGCTTGCTAGAGCTTTACCCACAGTTATTACCTGCATTTCCCATACATGATAGAAGATCCCAACCACATGTAACATAGCATGACCTTTATGGCATTTGTTAGGATGTAAAAGAAAAGCAGAAGGAAAGGTAACAGAAGTGAAAGAGAAGAGGACACGTGCCATTTGTGTATGCAATACAAGCAACCCCCATGCTCACCAACACCAATTTATCATTCCCAGGAAGGATACATCCCAACACCAAGCACCTCCTGATCTGCAGTAGGTGGGGTAACTTGTCAAGGACCCCGATGTATATCCCTTTCAAAAGGGACACACATGAGACTAATACCACCACAGTGAAACTCTCTGGCCTTTGGGTCAGGCCACAACAAAGATAACACAACAGCATCCACCAGAAGAGGAATTTGTGAAATAAGTGTGAAGTCACTATTCAGTCTCTGTCCTCAGCAAATATTTTTAAAAGGAAAAGATGAAACAAGGAGACTTATAAAGAACTACATTTATTTTTGTTTACAGCAGATATCATAAATAGAGCTAAAACAATTTTCACCGTGTGCAAAATACAGAATTTCCATGTGAAAATTTAAATACAGCATTAAAAACTATTTAATAAAAATATTCAGTTAAGATTATAAAGTAAAATGAAGACAGAAGATTTAGGAGAAGAAGAACAGAATCCTCACTGGCCAGGAAGACTCTGCAACAGAGGGTAAAAAACACAGCAATGGGAAGTGGTTTGAAATGGCAGACCTTTACCTCACGACCTTCATCTCAAAGCATGCTGAGCTTTGTAACAAAACACTGTAGCCCTGAAATACATAGGAAGTCACGTCCTAACCATTTGTGCAGGAAGTGACGCTTAAAATACAGAGAGGTTTCTGTGTGGGCACAGCCTAGGGACTTTCAAAGCCATCAAGACATTTTAGGATACCCACACAAATAGATACCATCGCTTTAGTCATGCAAACATGCAGGTCAGCAAGATAAGGTGTGGGGCTCTGACCCTGCAGCCCTTCTGCATTCCTGGCTGAGGTGTGTGAAATGGGGCAAGTGGCAGAGGATGTTTTGCCCCTCCTGAAAATTGCTGCTTAGATCAATTCCCGAAGGCCCTTCCCTTTGAAAGGGATCCTCAGCAGGGAAGGCTGGGTCATGGCCATGTCAACCAAAACCTCAGCGCACTTGCTTGTCAGACTGAGCCCTTGGTTCTTGTTTGGATTCATTGCCCCTTCCAGATTACCAACATGTGATTACACACACTGGAAATTAATATAAAAAACACATACAAAATAATCACACAAATTTGTCATGGAGAGTAGTGGCAACGTCTCATGCAGCAAGACAAATCCATTCATCAGAGTGGCAAATGGGGCCTAGGTAATTTGTTAAGAAAACAGTTCAAACCAAAACACTCTGGTTATATAAACTTGGCCTTTTGATATTACAAACTAAAAATAGCATGCACATCTACTGCTGTTAGGCCTGCCTGCTATGTTACTTAGGTTTTATATTGTACTTTTCCAGTACAAAAGCAAAGAAGCGCTCAGGAAGCATCACAGCGCTCACATGTTGCTTGCTCATTGCATATTTGAGCTCAACGGAAATAGGTGTTCACGCTAACCAGGAGAATCAGCTGGCTAATTTGTCCTGACCTTTTTTTTTAAATCTTTCCTTCATTACTTGAAAGAAAGAAGGCTTTAACTAGTTCTTTCAAGAAACGATGTACTTGCCTAACTTACCTTAAAGGCACAATGAAGCGTACATGCATAGACACAGAGAGCAAAATATTCTCTACAGAGAGTGCAGACGTTACCTTTTCTAGAACCATGAACTCAGGAACAGGTTAAATGATCATGCCAAAGCTTGCATCCATTAATATACCAGACACACACAGTTTGCTCAAAAAGTCTTAAAAAAAAAAAAACGTGCAATGAAATGCTGTCAAACAACAGTGTTAGTCACACAATTTTGGAACTGGAAAGCTGAAAAAATCACCTGAGAGCAGAAAAGCTTCAGCCAGTGAGCGGGTGCAGCACTGGAATGATGAATTGGACTAAAAGCAAGGAGGGAGATTGACAGACAAGACAGCAGGAAAAAAAAAAAAAAAGACACAGAACTTAACTTGATTATATAGGAAAGCATCAGAAACATTATGTAGGCACAAAGAAGAACTGGCCAAAATGCAACCACCTTTTTTCATTAAATCATGAAGAAGTACAAATAGGTACAAATCTTACTAGCAGAATATTAAGATTAAAAAAAAACCCAAAAAAACCAAAAAAACCAACTACCAATTAGATTGATACCAATAAAAAACATTCCCAACAGAATCACCTGCAAACTCCCAGCGGAACATGTAGTGTAATTAAGATTCCTCAGGAAAATGCTTTCACTATGCAAGTTCCTGAATGCTGTTGTGGGAATGTAGGGATTTTATTCCACATTATATAAATATATATAAAGCCAATACCATAGTTTTATTTTATACTTTTATTTTATTTTTAAGCTTTCTACTAGTAAGATTCATTTGCCTTAAATTAATTGGATATCAGAGATTTCCAAGTTTCTTACTATATCACCATTTTCTGTAAGTTTACCATTATGTGCATTCTGCTGAAAAGCAGAAAATTTCCTGTAGTAAACAGCAGGAGAAAATGTCAGGAAAAAACATTGACAAACTGAAATCAAAACTGATGGCAAGCCAAATTTTAAAATTTTACCACTTAGCAGTTGGCTGTGTTGCAGGAGTAACATGATAAATCACACTGCAGATTTTCTCCTTTTTGGGTATAATAATTACTATCATTAGCAAATAATTTAAAAGTATACAGCATTCCAAAGGAGGGTTTTTTTTTCAAATGCTATCAAAGAGGTACAGATACATTTCTTCACATATATACAGATGCTCACCATGTTACTATAATTGTCACTGTGTCCAGTCAATATTCTAGCAAAATTTTGCTGAATACATATTTGAACATCAATGGCAATTTATTTAAAATTAATGCTACCTTATACCTAAACAATTTTCTTCAAGCACTTTTTCAAGTTTTGTGCATATCCTTAAGAATTTTTCCCCAAATACATAAGCACTCTAAAATGTGAAAAGTTTTATTCTTGTAGTTTAAAGGAAGTCGAACTATCTAGAAGAAAAATCCAGTTTGTCATTTATTTTAAACAGAAGACACATTTCCTTTTAATACCTAAGAAACAAAACAATTCAAATAATCTTTTCCAACATTATGTTAAAAAATTAAAAAAACCTGCCAGCCCATAAGCAACACAGTCATTTAAGACCACTGGAAGGTGATCTTCAACTTTGGTACTAACTGAATGCGACATTATTTCCTATTATTTAAGCCACATTCTTTTGGCTAGAAATAAATGCTATAGATGCTTTTAATTTTAGGCTGTACATATTACTATGCTTATGTATTTACCTATTTTCTGGCTAACCTTTTAATTTAAACATTTAAGTATTTGAGAGGCAGGGAGCATGCTTACCTCACTGGCTAGCAAGGCTGAACGTAAATCAGAATTTGGGATGTTGATGTCTCCTTGCCGTTAAATAGCTTACTTAACCTGTCCTGACACCTTCTGATTAAGGCAGACCTTGTTGAGAGACATGTGAAAGAAATTTACTTAATGGCTGCTCCAGATTATAGAATTTCACCTTTCTGCCATCAGTTTTATACATTGAAATTAATAAAATACCCAATTAAGAAGTAATCTCCTTAGAATACATCTGTAGGTTTTTGTTGTTTGTTCTAAGCATATATTTTTTTAAAAATTGTAAAAGACAACAGGAACAGTGCCCACCCAGAGGCACAACAGCAGTGATTTCAGTTACAGATGAGTGCTCCGTAATTGATATTCCTTGAATCAGCCACCTAATGAGGAAGCCTTTACTTGAGGAATAAGTCAGGTCTAATTACACTACCAGTTCCTTTGACTTACGGTTTCAATCAAGCCTTCACTCAACTAAGATTTGCTCTTCAAATTTATTTCAAAACTTTAAATAAATTAGTAGTACAGATTGTACCCACTATCAACAAAGGGTATCCATCACATGTAAGGAATGTAAAAGGCATGACTAGAAGCAATGTGAATTAAGTACATGATTTTTTTTTTTTTTAACATATTCATGCAAGTTATAAATCTCATAACCCAGAGCAAAGATGAAAGCAAGGAAAAAAAAAAAAAAAAAAGGTATGCGCCATATTCAGGTTTCAAAACCCAGTCATTTGTCATAAATATTCCCCAAATATCTGAAAGAATACACATTCTTTCTTGGTCTAACAAAAAAATCAACCAAAACTCAAAAAACCACAAACGGTTTTAAAAACGTATCATCCCCCCAACAGTTTGATCACAGGATAAAATGGAGGGCAGGGAGGAGGGGGATCTACAAAATATCCTTCATCCATCCTCGTATTCTGGAAATGTGTCTGGACACTGCCCTTCATGCTCTAACATACAGTACACTTTATATTGAAAATTTTGATTGCACCTCATTTATATCAGAAAGAATCCACTGTTCATTTAAGTCACACATTAAATTGCATGAAAAGTAAAAAAAAAAACCAAAAAAACACCTGCCAAAAAAAACCCCTCAAGAAAATAGCGAGGCTGTTAATTTTGAAAATCTGAAAGGCACAATTGAGCAAGACACGTAGAAGAATTTAAACCCTATAGAATTTTTTCACCCATTCAAGCACATTTTCAAGTGATAGCTCTGCTTCCCGGTACATATGAGTAAGTACCTCTAGAAGGGCACAGAGGAATGGCACACCAAGGCTCAAGAGTTCGTACAAGTAGGTATAGTTATATGCATTGTCCCTGAAATGAAGATTGGTAGCGTGCAGAAAACCATGCATCCAGTTAGACAGGCGTCTGGGAATGTCAAGCAGATCCCTTGTCACCCGAAGGGGCCAGCTTAGCGTGCCCCTAAAGAAGGAAGTCAGGATACCTGGGGACCTGTCCTCTGGACTGCTAGCAGTAGACAAAGTGCTTTCAGTGGTGGTCTCTGTAAGTTTGGGTTCCTCTTTCTTCCATGCTTCTGTAGTCTCCTTATATAAAAGCATTAAAAAATATTAAATATACTTATAATATAAAAACAGAAAGTCCAGTTTCTATTTTCAAGTTTTTATATATATTGTCATTTCCAATTGCTCTTAAGTTGAATTTTACTTTGTATAGGGAAAGCTAATTTCCACTGAGAACCAGACTATAAACATGCCAAATTCACAGAACCAGGAGGTTATACTTTAGTATTGATGGCACTACTTCTGGACATCAGGTAGAAAACATCTTACACACACAGGTATTACACCCTGCTCCAGATGAAGCTGCCTCAACATTTCCTGCATTAGTAACATAACCAATACGTACCTTTCCCTGGATCTGTAATGTTGCTCTTCTCTTTCTGTGTTTAGTACTGATTTTGCAGTGTGTAAAATGAGGTTTACAGTAAAATTTACCTACAAGAGAAAAAATAAATTATATGGTATTTTATCTATACGCCTATGAACTGAAACCCCACTGTTTGCATCTATAAAAGGTGAAATCAGGATGATTAATGTTTGGGCAGCATAAGGAATGGTAAACTTGCCACTGACTCCGAATAGCTCACAGCTCTGAATCGGTTTCTTCTATAGTACACAGATTTGCACATTTGTTAAATAAGGTAAGGTTGTTTATCTACCACGCAGCTTTAAGATTAACAAATAGCAGAATAACAAGATTCTATAAATACCAAGTCACAAATCAACACAAGGCATCAAGCAGCAAAAAGTCAAATAATCAGTTCAATAAAGCCTTTGCAGAAGAGTCTCTGGACTGCAAAAGAACCACCTTTGGCCTTGAGTCTTTAATCCTTTTGTAGAAGGCGATCAGGTAAATACTCCAATCTACTCAAATCATTTGGAATTGGCAAGGGAATTTCAATTCCATCTAATAATTTCCCTCTAAACTCGGAAAAAAAAAAAAAAAAAAGGGCAAAAACCAATTCCCCATCTCCAAACTCCCCAGCTGTAGGTGAGATTGAGCACCCAAGATCTGCACCACAGCAGACTGGTTTAAGTTACACTGCTGCTTGGGCAGTACTACCGCTTTCAACTCCTGAGCCGTAACGTCTTGAAAGAAGTAACCTATATTCCGCCCATCCATGTAAATCTGCCACTATTGTTATAGATCACGTTATTTAATGGCCAGTTATAAGTGAAAGACGAGAATAATTCTGTATTGCTGGAGAAAAATCACCTCCCCCCCCCCGCCTTTGACCTGTGATTGCAAAAACTGCATTTTGGTCACTCAGATAATTTTCCACTGATGATTTCTTCAGGTCTGTCATAACTGGATTCTTTTGAAAGACTGGAACTGCAAGTACAAGGACTCAAAAATCAGCATGGATGCAAACAACATACTAGCAGGCCTCCTCCCGACTGAGCTACTCGGACAGGTCTTTTTCCCTAGATCCATTAAAAGCATCAATACTCAGACATTTTAAAAATATTCTTAAATAGCTCCTGTATTACCTTCTTCAACATCAAAGGCATAAATTCCTAAACGGAGTGTTGTAGAACATATTTCACACTTGAAGCACTCCCTATGAAAGAAGTGGCCTTCTGCACTCAGCCGCTCCATAACATATACCCGTTTTTTGCAGAAATAACAAATGTCGCTCCCCCCAATAGACTGAGGAAATTCTTTTCGCAGAGATCCCTGTTAAAAGATAAAAATAGAAATGTGCATAAAGCCATTGCACTACACCCAGATATAAATTCTTAAGTGGGCAGCTGCTTTAGCTGCTTGAAGTTTTACAAAGCACCCTCCACACAGAATTAAAGTAAGCATCAGTCAGCTTTTTCATTACTCATTTGCTGCAATTCTGTAGGTTTATGTAGCAATTCATAAAATTGGACATCACAAGGACTTTAAGGGGTGAGTTTCCAGCTGGACTTGCATCTTGCATCTAGCTTCCCTCCAGGAGTTCACTAACATTTTGTGTTTACTCAGGTACAAGAGCAGCACCAGCCCCAGATGCTCACGCACCGCCCTGCACCACGCTGGCTGAGGCACTCGTGTCTCACGGCTGTGGGCCTCGGCGTTTCTCAGAAGAGGGCAAAAGCAGACCTTGCCAGCCTTGAACAACAGACACGCATCTGGAGCTAAGAAAACAGGCACCCTGAAGTCTCAGGTCATACACACTCTGGAGAAAAATGTAGGCTCGTGCTTTAAGATCCAGAAAGAAAAACTGATACTCTTCAACACTGGTGTCCAAACTACCATCTACATCAGTGGCAGACATGCTTCCCAGCCATGTTCATCCTCAGACTACAGCCCAAGCTGGGGCTTGGTTTGTTTTAAAAATCAGTTTCATTCCTACCACAGACATTCAGAATATTTTTAATTCATTGGACTTTTAAAATATGATCCATATTAAAAACTTGAAGCTATTTTGAAAGTTTTTGTTGAATTTGGGTTGGCAATTAACATTCTTTAATTGCCACAAATCTTATTCTCTCTGGATATACATGCAAAAGGTACAGAAAAATAAGTTATAAATGGGTTAGGTGCCACTGGGCTTCCCTTTTCCAATTAGAGGCAGGTATGAGGATGTTACTTTGCATTCTTCTTAGTTATAAGTGGGAACAGATGAGCATCCTGTCTCTGCCACAGCTGCCAGCATCTCCCTTTCTCCCCCCTGCTGCCAGGTGAGGCGTACCACACATGGGACAGAGGAGGGGCAGGCTTGGCAGAGTCCAGGCACGTACTGACAGCAGCACACAGTCCATGCAACTCATCTTTAATCTGCCGGCAAAATGCAGCCTCGGAACAATTTTTTATGTTAAGTACAAGTCACAATTGTCATTGTCACAGGTCACACTCTTGTGCTTAAAAGTTGAGAATCCTATTCCAAATCTGCCGTTAGTAATCCATCTTGCTGTGATGGATCACTTCAGAGTATGAACTACACGAAACTTTCCAAATGAACAACCATGCAAATGAAAAAGCATATGAATGCTTTTTTAAAACCACGATGTTAATAGAACAGTTCAGATAGTTACAATGAAGTGAAAGCAATCAGGAGTTCAGTGCTGGCTAATAAGTAAGCGTCACCACCACAACACAACACCTCACTTCGCTTTCCAATACCTGACAGCTCTGAGCAGTGGAGGCAGGAGATGGAGAATGAGGAATGGGGCAAGAACCTGTAGCTCTGTCCAGAGACTGCTTCTGAATTCAACACAGAACAGTGTCAGAGTTTAAAAACAGCTCTCTTCAAAAGGAGGCACGGTGATTCAGCATTTGTGTGTTAAAAATAACTGCATAAACATGTACTGTACAAAACTTTCTTTAGAAGCCACCCTGATTAATAATTGCTTTCTGTTACTAATGGTACCAGTAATTACATTTAATAAAAGCCTCCTGAAGTTTTAATTCATACAGACAAGTAATAAAAATATAAATACAATACATGGAGAGCAACATTTCCAGCACATCCACACATCAGCATATTTTGCCAATATGCACTTGATTCCTTAATAAGTGTTAGACTAAGACCTTAAAGTGCTCCACAACCAGGGTTGTAAGTCGGGATGACATTCTGGAAGCACCACTCTTTTAAGTCAAGTTATTGCTTCTTTGTGGGTTTAGCCTTACCAGTTCAAGGGGGGGAAGCTGTGGCTTGGGTCTGTGATCATTCACATACAGATTGACAAGAACTTCAGCCACAGCTCCAATTGCACGTGAGACCTTTCCTACAGTCATCTAACCAGAAAAGGGGAGAAGATGAAGAATAGAAGAAAGAGCTTTAGTTATTCTTGAAAAAGAATTTAATGAGAGAAGGACAAGAATGACTTGAAAAACATGCAAATGATGATAAAGAGAGGCTAGAAGAAAGAGCAGAGGCAAAGTCTAGCAGAGCACAAGCATGTTCATGCGTGACCAGCGTGGTCCAGCTGGTGGCCACAGGAGGCTTCCATGCAGCCCACAGGCTTCTCCCTGTGAATGATGGAGAAATAGCTGCTGGAAACAAATGCTGCTCCCACAGCACAAGGCCTCCTGCCATGTCTGCAAAAGGCTGAGCTAGGAACTACTGCCTGGCTATCAGGGTTGGACCATTCTGATAGATTAAAAACAAAAAACCCCTGTTGTTCACTTGGACTTCTTGGGACTTTGTTGCTATATTTCAAAACAGGGGTGGGGACTAAAATTCACATTAACAAGCCACAAACCATGGCATTTCAGGAAACATTCTATGAAAATGTATTAGAAGTCCTGCACGGACATGTTTTGTTGATGCTCATGGAGCAACCATTCTCCCTCTCCCCAGTGACTCATCTTAACGCCAGAGAAAACTGGAGAAACTACACTCATGAAAGGAAGACATCTCCTTTCATCTGCTTCATCACACTACTGCAGCCACGATGTAAGGCTGTTTCTAACCCAATTTATCAAGTAGACGGGCCTGCAAGGACATTGCAGTTCCTTAGGCTGTGGCTCCAAGTGCACCGTAGCCAGACCACTGACTGTATAGTCCAGGCTTCCTTGCCAAAACATATACATGCCTGTGTGTGTGTGAAGAAGAAAGGTGTGTGTGTGCACGCGCATGTGTATGTGATGAAGAATAGAAGAAAGAGCTTTAGTTATTCTTGAAAAAGAATTTAATGAGAGAAGGACAAGAATGACTTGAAAAACATGCAAATGATGATAAAGAGAGGCTAGAAGAAAGAGCAGAGGCAAAGTCTAGCAGAGCACAAGCATGTTCATGCGTGACCAGCGTGGTCCAGCTGGTGGCCACAGGAGGCTTCCATGCAGCCCACAGGCTTCTCCCTGTGAATGATGGAGAAATAGCTGCTGGAAACAAATGCTGCTCCCACAGCACAAGGCCTCCTGCCATGTCTGCAAAAGGCTGAGCTAGGAACTACTGCCTGGCTATCAGGGTTGGACCATTCTGATAGATTAAAAACAAAAAACCCCTGTTGTTCACTTGGACTTCTTGGGACTTTGTTGCTATATTTCAAAACAGGGGTGGGGACTAAAATTCACATTAACAAGCCACAAACCATGGCATTTCAGGAAACATTCTATGAAAATGTATTAGAAGTCCTGCACGGACATGTTTTGTTGATGCTCATGGAGCAACCATTCTCCCTCTCCCCAGTGACTCATCTTAACGCCAGGGAAAACTGGAGAAACTACACTCATGAAAGGAAGACATCTCCTTTCATCTGCTTCATCACACTACTGCAGCCACGATGTAAGGCTGTTTCTAACCCAATTTATCAAGTAGACGGGCCTGCAAGGACATTGCAGTTCCTTAGGCTGTGGCTCCAAGTGCACCGTAGCCAGACCACTGACTGTATAGTCCAGGCTTCCTTGCCAAAACATATACATGCCTGTGTGTGTGTGAAGAAGAAAGGTGTGTGTGTGTGCACGCGCATGTGTATGTGAGTGGTAGGCAGGCAGGCACTGTAGTTCTCTGTTCCTGTAAAAAAGACTTTGAAGACTTCATAGATTTACAAAAAAAGTTTCTACTCTAAATACTGCTGTGATTTAGATTTTAGTTTTATAGTCAGATTAGATTCCACAGCCTCTCTGGTGGCAAAGGCAGCAAGGGCCATCCTGTTATGGCCAGGGATCTGATACTCTGCTTCTGAAGCCAGGACATTTATTACTTTTTTTTTTCCTAGAGGATCCACAATCTCATAGCTTACACTCCATTTGCCTGCCACAGAGTCCAAATTTTAAGTCTTTCACTTCTCAGTGAAATTATTTTTCTATTGCCACCACTCTAAGTCTTGCTAACAGAGAGGTTTTAAAATACAAGGAAGTTACCATGAAGAAAAAGAGAAAAATATAAATGCAATGGCATTCATGATAGTTTTAAATAATTTCAAAGCATTTTCTATCAAGTTTAAAAGCAACTAGACTGCATTGTGGGTATGTTTTCAAAAATTATGATGGTTAAAAGTATTCTTGCTAACAAAAAAAATTTGAGTTCAGGAACTTGGAAACATGTCCAGCCCCTTACAGCTCCCCTTATCTTTTGAGTTATCCCATAATTAACTTAATATCTGGGCAGATACAAAATATGCATGTTAAGACAACAAAGGCCATTCAAGGGACAAATTTCTGTACTGCTTTGTTTTGTTTAATATAAAAAGACTTCTAATATTGGTCAGTATCTGCACAACTTGCGGGGTAACAGCAGCAAAGTAAACTGTTAATTACCTATCACAATGCTATGCGAAGTGGTACATTAAATTATAAACCAACAGCAGAAGTGAGATTACTTGCTACTACAGGAAAACTACGTTCCTTTGTATTGTTTAAGATCACAGAAGACAAAATTTTCCTCCCCAGATTCTGCACCTCTGAATACGCTGAGCAACTTTTAGGCCACATACAACTTAATACCCATGAGCTCCTAGGTAAAAGAACGCATTCAAAGTCAGCTGAAACAGAAAGTTTACCCTGAACTAGTTAAATGCTGGAGCAATCAGTTAAACAATAAGGCTATGCTTAAAGGGCAAGTAGTTGAATTTCAGGAAAAGTATCCTTGAGCCTGAACTACACCTTGCAAGTCATTAGGTTGATTTCTGTTCTCTGCCCATTGGAGCAATCTGTGTCAATATTGAAGCAGTCAAAATAAGAAAACTGCATGCTTATACATTAAAAAATGTTATTAAAAGGAAGTGTTCTTGTAATGAATGTGA